CCTTGGGATGGTGGCTGGGCCGTGTGGAGCTCCAGTACGGGTGCTCTGCTCGCCTCCAGGCTGGGGATCAGCACGGACAAAGGGCTGCGGGAGGGCGCTGGGGACAGCCATGAGGATGGGCTGCTAAAAAGCTCATCCGTGTCCGACTTTTGAGGTTTTGAGATTTATTGGCTTGGGAGAGTTTCGGTAGACTGGATATTGAGGGCGGGAAGTTTGGGGGAAATCTCTAAAGCAGAGGAGCATCTTGAGAAGAAGGGTCCTGGTCCCTAAGATGTGTCTGCTTTGTTGTTTTTTTTCTTCCCTGGCTGTATGGTCCTTTTGAAGGAAAAATGAGCCCCTTTCTAAAAAACTTGAGTCAAGGTGGAGGACCCGGGAGCAGGGAAGCTGGAGCGGGGACAGAGCATCACATCTCACCAGGGCTGAGGAGAGCTGGCAGAGCTCTGTGTGTGTGACACTTCCCCACCATGTGCTTGCTTTCAGCATCTTCCCCTCGAGAAGCCCAACCTGTAGCAGGCAATGTAACCAGCGTTTCTTGTTTTCTGCCTCACCAGCTGGGGATCAGGGCATTTCTTTTGAGGTGCACAGGATGCTGCTGCTGTACCGATGGTTTTATAAAAGGGGACTTCCCTGCCCCGCTATTGCTCTGCAGAGAGGTGCCCAAGATCCCCCTGGCAGAGTTTATTCGGGGCGGGCTGTTGTGCTGGGTCACTGGGCTCACGTTAAACTTTGTAAGTCTGCAGTGCTGATTTATGATCTGGCAGATTGCAGCGTGGCTTAGGCTAAAAATAGTCAGAGGTATTGGGGGAGGATATTAATGCTGAGGGTGGCCTCATGCCAATCCTGTCTGTATCCCTTACTGCCAGGCATGGCAGGGAGGGGTTTAGGCAGCGCTCAGGGATGTGGTGGTGGGCAGGAAGTCATTTTTATAGGGTGAAATCCATCTCCGAGTGCTTCATGTCATAGATACGTGTGGGATGGGATGTGACACAAACAAATGGAAAGCTATGGCAGCCTGGAAGCTGCTTAGCTCTGGCTCACTGCCTGCTCCCATTCCCTGCTGCTTGCTGGGGTCCCTGGACCAGCACCTGCTGGTGAGACAGAGGATCTGAGAACTTCCAGGCCTTTCTCCTTCTTTGTAGGTGTGTTAGAATATGCTGCTGCTTGCCTTTCCTCTGGGGCAGATGATGCTGAGTTGGCTTTGCTCAGAAGCTGTAAGGAAAAAGCAGAGCTGGGTGAGCCTCCCGGGATGGGCAGGGGTCAGTGACCACCGGTGACCACCACCGTCAGGTTGGCATGAGCGGCCGGGCTGGGTGTAGTGGAGGTGCCTTGGGGCAAGCAGCTCCTTCTGCCCACCCGCACTGGGGGTTTCTCTCAGGTGCGTGGGACAGGTGAGCCCCAAGCAGCCTGTGGAGACACAGCCAAAGTGGGCAGCCACTGCCTGGGAGTCCGCAGCGCTCGGCCGCGGGGGCCGGGCCCTGATTCCCCCCTCAGCCCCCTCATGGCGCCCGCCGCCATGTTAGCGCCCGCTCCCTCCCTCCAGCAGGGAGCGCTGCGGAGCGCGGGACGCCGCCCCGCGTGGTGGCCGTCTGCCCCTTTAAGAGCCACGGCGGGGAAGTGTCCGTCATTGCCGAGCGCGCCCTCCCATTGGTCACTGTGCCCCGCGGGGCCCGCCCCATCTATAACGGGGTTTACCACCACCTTCTCAAGGGCGCTGCAGTGCGGCTCAACCACACTGCGGCGTCCGGCGCGCGCCCCCTTGCGCGCCTGCTGGCGCGGGGAGCGTCGTCCCATTGGCCAAAGGGCAAATCTATCAGCAATCGCCTTCCGCCCATTGGTTCACCCGTCTGTCAATCACTCTCCCCGCCCCGCGGAGCCCTGCCGCATGGTTGGCTGGCTGAGCTGCCCCTCAGCTCTCCGCCCGCCTCCTCGCGGCTGTGAGCCAACCGGCATCCGAGCGAGGTCGAGCGCCGCTCTCTGACTGGCTGGGCCGCGCCCGCTGGGGTAGGCTGCGCGCCGGATATATGTAGCCGGCGGCAGAGCACGCCGCTGCGTGAGGCGCTTCTCGTCCGCCGGGCCCTGTGGTGAAGCGGCGCCTCCGCTCCCGTCCCGCTCTGCCCGCAGGTGAGGGGATGGGGGGCACGGGGAGACACCGGCGCGGCCGCGCCTTTCCCGGGGGGACCGCGGGCCGCACGCACCGCCCCGGCTCCGCGGCGCCCCCGGCTCTCAGTAGGCCGCGGGCCGTGCGGGACGGCGCTGCTGGCGCCCCCCTCCCCCTCATCCCGCCCGCTCCCCGCGGCGCTTTGTGGCGGGCGCCGGCGCCCTCCCGCCCGACCCGCGGCCGCGCAGCCCCCGCGGGCTCCGCAGCCTTCGGCCGAGCTCCCGGTGCCGCGGCGGCCTCGGAGCTGCCGGCGGGAGCGGTGCGGGGCAGGGGGGCGGCGGGGGAGCGGCTGCTCGCGGGCCCGCATTGTGCGAGGCGAGGGGTGCGGGTCGAGCTTTGTTCTCGCCTTTCCAGGCTCGGAGGCTTTTTCGCTCTCCGCTTTTGGGTTTTGTTGTGGGCAGGTGGGGCCGGGGAGGAGCCCACCCCAAGGCCGAGGTGTTCCCGGTTCAGGGGGAGCTGTGGCTGCGGATGGAGGGGCAGCGCTGGCTGCTCGCACGGTCCGGACCTGGGTATCAGCTCGGGGTGCCTCCCTTGCTGTAACTTTATGGGTGAAGGAAGTTAAAATTCCAACAGGAGAGCGTGGATCTTAACCTGCTTTACCGCATGACCTTGGCTGAATCCGAGATTAGGCTAAGATTTAAATGCGAAGTCGTGCTTGTAATGAGACTTTCCAGCATCCTGTAAGGCCCCAGATGAACGTGCTGGAGAAAGCCCAGAGAAAAGGTTTCCATACATCTTCCAGTCGCTCCCAGTGTGGATCTGGGTGTTCTACGGCATTCCTCATTCTCTGCGGGCTTACCTGGTAACCTTCTGTGTTAAGGCTTGCATGAATAGAATAAGTAATCTTTACCAAAAAAAGGATTTTTTTGTTCCACCACCGGGGGAAAGCAGCATTTGCAGCACGCCGCCATGTTTCCAGTGTGTGCTATTTTTGGCAAGCCCCTGCTCTCACAGCCAGGAGTGACAGATTTAGGAAATCTGGACACTGCTATCAAGCTTTGGAAGCTGATGCTTCCAGATGCCATAAATCAAACGTGGCGAGGGGTGTGTTGGATTTTTTTTTTTTTTTAGCTAACAAAGCTTGTTAAAATGATGTCATAAAGGGAAGTGCAGAAGTTGACAGACAAAAACTGCATTTTATACCTTTCCTGATATTTTTCTCTTCGACCAAAATTTCACTTTTCTTATTCTCTGTCTGTAAAGAATAAGCCAAACCATTTTTCTAGATAGCTCTGTGATGCTTCCATGATGTTCATGGCAGCATCTTCTCATCCTGTGAACTGAACTCACCTTTCCCGGGGTGCTTCAGTCACCATATATAACAATGCAAAGTTGTGAGTCTAGCTTTTTTGTTTTAGTGGATGGTATATGTAGCTAATTTGAAGGTTGGCTGGAAGTGTTCACGTGCTTGAAGTCTTACATCCTTATCTTTGTGATGGAAATCTCACGACCTTTTTGACAGCATCACGTGTTGCAGGGGCTGGTTTGCCTGAAAGGCACTACTGAAACCTGCTAGAAAGTGTAATTGTGCAAAGTCTGTTAGGAAAAATAAATGCTGGAACCTTTGCAAATATATATAAGAATTTTATAAATATAGGTATTTTAAAAAACCTTAGGCTTGTGTACATCAGGAAGTAAAGAGAGGCCCCAGTTCCTGACTGGGATGAATTTGCCCTTTTTTTTGTGCTAGGTTGTGTTAAATGTGGACTCCTTAAGTTGAAGGTAGGGAAGCATAATTAAAATAAAAGAAGAAAACCTGGTGGAGAGGACTTAGTCAGTGTGTGCCAAGCCCATCAGGATTTCTGTTGGAAATCTTTGTATTTGCAGCCTGAGAAACAACAAAAGGATTTGTTTGTGCTGTGATGGCAGGACCACTGCTCTGCTGCTCCCTTTGGTGCTGGCACCACAGCATCAGTAGAGTTCAGCTCATCTGATGGAGTTTGAACACCTGAATTTTAAACAGAATCTTTAGGCACTCAATGAAACAGCAAATTCTTTGTTTCAGACCTTTATTTTCCACATTGCAAATTGTAAGGCAAACATACAGAGCAACACTACTGAAAGGGAGATAAAGCAAAGGTGATGTTGTTTTAAGTACATCTTGGTATTTCTGTTCAAAACAGTAGGACGTGATGAGAGAGCACTCATGAGGTTGGCATAAATGGCCTGTTAGAATTAGAAAACACTATTCTAGTTTTTAATATTTGCACCTGGGCCTTTTTGTCTGACAGGGATGATGACTGAAGAATGAAGGAGGAAATCCAAGCAGAGCAGGACTTCAGCAGGGTGGTGCTGGTTGCTGTGCTGGCTGTAGCCTGCTCTGCCTGGAACAAACCAAAAGTGATAGTTTGCTCTAGAAGACTGGGTGATTTTTATTATTTTTTTATAGGTCCCTATATAAAATCTGCTGAGTTGAAGTAGTTATTTGATTTCCTGGGGTACCTACTAGTAGACTTGATAACCTTAAGCTACCTCATTGACTAATTAGAAAGAAAACCAGAAGTGTGATCCTCAGGTACTGTAAAAGAATCCTTCAACTTTGCAGGCAGTGAGTTGTGTTGGCTTGAGGTCCCAGCTTTGCTATATTAAGTCTGGAGCTCTTCCAGGAGGCCGTGGCTGGTGCAGAGCAGCTTTGAGAGCAGGACCTGGCTGCTGTCAGTTATGTAGGAGTGATCCCTGCTGAACCTGACTCCTTGCTGAGCAAACGTGCAGCTCTGCTCTGCACTGCCCACCTTCCATTTCCACCTGCTCTGCCCTGTGCTGTTCCCTGCCTGCTGCAGGGCTGGCTCTGTTCTGTTTTTAATGTAACAGTGCTGGCATGGGGCAGTCCTGAGTGCCAGGATACAGCTGATACATCAGGTTTAAGCCTCTTCTGTGACCTATGCAGGTTGGGGTGAAAGAGTTGATTCTCTTTACAGTTCTCTGTTGCTTGGCATGCAGAAAATATTTTGAATCTTAATCTTGGTGGTTCTAATCTGAGTGGCATTAAGCTTGAATTTCACTGTAGTGTTGATGTAGTTCAGGGTTCTGATCTGCCTCTTCTGACTGCTGATGAGTAACTTTTGCTTTTTTACTTTAAGAAGCTGCACTGGAGCCAAATGGAAAATTTGCAGACCTAAGAGAAGATGACTGGACCTGCTGCCAACTTCATCGAGATGTTGGAGCAGCTCTTGGATGTCAAAACAAAACCTGTTCTAATGGCAAAATCACAGGGTCTAAGTAGCTGCTTTATCATGAAGTGATCTGGAGAGCAGTAGAGGCAGAAAGCTGACTTATTTCTTACTAAAGAAAAAGTAAACAAACCATGCAGCACTATCCTACTGCCCTTCAGGATGAAATTTATGTGTTTAAAGTGTAATTTTGGAGAAAAACATTGCTTCTAACTGAGGGGTCAATGAGGTTAAAATAAGTTCAGTTAGAAAGGCAAATCCTTCCCCCACACTGGAGACCTCATTTAGGATAATCTGATTTTAGGATTATTAAATATGTAGGAATATTTCTGGGAATTCTCAAGGCCTTGAGTTTTCAGAGAACTTGGATTTTGTGTTCCTTTTTGTGGAATTCCTTTTTCCACTAAAAGGAACACAAAATCTGAGTTCCTTTTTGGCTTCTGTCAAATCACAAGGGCCACATGTTTTTCTGTAGTGTTAAATGCAACAGAACTCTCTTTTTGTGAGGATATGCAGTGTTGCTCCTTAGGCTCAGGACAAATCACTTCAGTTTAATGTTACAGCAGGTAACTGCTGAATAGAAGTGAAGATTGGTATCAAGTAGAAACTTGGAAGCCAGGTGAAACAGCTTTAAAAAGGAAGGGAAAAACCCTCAAACCCACACCATACTAGGGTGTGGAAGGGGAGGCAAAATGTTTTTAGGGAGGAAGAGAAAAGTCAAACACCTTGTTAAAAATTTCTTACTGTATCATTTAGTTTTAATGGCAGGTTTTTAGGATTCTTCTGGGTTAGATTTTTTCCCCTTCTCTTGTAAGCAGGACCTGATTTGCTGTTTGTCTTTGGAGCTTTATGCTCTTAGCCACAGGAATAGTGTTTGGGATCATTTTCCTTACCCAGATGAATGTTCATCCCTTACTTTAGGGGTTTGCTGATATCAGGTACCCTGAGTTATACTTCAGGTGATCTTTGTGTTTTTAATCTGCTTTTCAGCTTAATGCCCTGGAAATAACATTTCTCCAAAATTCTCTCTTTTCTTTTAGATTGACTGAAAACATTAGAAATCTTCAGTTTGTCTCTTTCTTCCTTGGTAGAGCTGAAAAACACAAGTGCTGAATTTTTTCTAAGAAATGGCAGACTCCACCATATCCATCAACTTGTGGATCACACTTAGGTTTGTTAGCAAAAACACAGGCAGACTTCTACCCTGACAGCTCCTCAGCAATTGCTGCCTTGTTTATTTGTATTCTGCCAGTGTTTGAAGGGCTGTGCATTGCTGCTGAGTAAGGCTTCCCATCTGCCACTGGCAAGCAGAGGGGTTTGGTACTAGCATGGGCAGTGCTGAATGTAATTCTGAATTATTTCTTAATCTTGTGATGAAAACTTCTTTTTATTTTGCCTAAATTTTGTTTGAGTGGATGATTTGATTAGAAAGCAGTTAAGCTTCTAACTTAATTTTTCTTATCCATGTGTTGGTGTGATACATGGCTTTTCTAGACAGTCCCATGTCAGTGTGTCTCAGAAGGGGCTCAGGTGTTGCTCTGCTTTTCTGCTGCATCTGGGTAATTCAGCACAGAGAAAACTGATTGCCTGAAAAAAATCATCATTTTTTTAGGTTCTAGTTCCCTGTAACACCTCAAGTATCTTATGAATGTAGGCACTGCCTTCTTTGTAGGTTGTGTGGGTCATACAGTGGAGATGAGTCACAAGTGAAAGGAGAAATAACTGTGCTAAATTTGACAGTCTAGATCCATGTTTTATTAGGTGTTTGGAAGGTTATTAAAGGCTCCTCTGTG